TTAAGCGCACTTAGTGCTCTTCCAAAATATCTGAATCAGTTCCCAGCACCCATGTCATGAAACACATGACTACTTGTAACTCCAGTTCCAGAGGATCTGACACCCTCTTCTGGCCTCCATGGGTACCTGCACACATGCACGTACCTGTGCACAAGCTAAAAAAATTTTTTTTAAGACTCTAGCATGCTGGGCCGAGCATGGTGGCTTACGCCTTTAATCCCAGCACTTGGGAGGCAGAGGCAGGCAGATCTCTGTGAGTTCAAGGCCAGCCTGGTCTACATAGTGAGAGGTTTTTTTGTTTTTTTTTTTCTTTTTGTCTTTTTGAGACAGGGTCTCTCTGTAGCCCCAGCTGGCCTGGAGCTCACTATGTAGACCAGGCTGGCCTTGAACTCACAGAGATTTGCCTGCCTCTGCTTCCTGAGTGCTGGAATTAAAGTCCTGTTACTTCTTTTCTTTCTTTTTTTTAAAATTATATTTTATTATTTTTATGTGTATGTGTGTGTTGCCTGTGTGCAGATAAGTGCACCTGTGTTGTGCAGTGCGCACGGAGGACAGAAGAGCCTGTCGGATCCCCTGGAACTGGAGTTAGGAACAGTTATTAGCTGCCATGTGGGTGCTGGGATTCAAACCCGGGTCTTCTGCAAGAACAATCAGTGTTTTTAACTGCTGAGCCATCTCTCCAGCCCCAAAGGCCTGTTACTTCTTATCACTTTAGCTTCTGTTGCTCTGGAGAGGCTGAGGTAAGGAAGGTCATGAATTCCAGGTCAACATATGAAGACCCTCCCTCAAAATAAATAAGTAGCCTGGTGTAGTAGCACATGCCTTTAATCCCCAACATTGGTGAGGCAGAGGTGGGCAAATCTCTGTGAGATCAAGGCCAGCCTGATCTATATAACAAGTTCCAGGCCAAGTGGGGCTACAGGGAGATCCAGTCTCAAATAAATAAATAAATAAATAAATAATAAAGTAAACAAATAAATAAAAACTCCAGTTAGAAATATTAAAAGAATGGGGCTGAAGAGATGGCTCAGCAGTTAAGAGCACTGACTACTCTTGCAGAGGACCCGGGGTTCAATTCCCAGCACCCACATGGCAGCTAACAACTGTCTGTAATGGTTCCAGGGGATCTGACACCCTCTTCTGACCTCAGCAGGCATTGCACAACATGGGTGCACTTACACGCATGCAGGCGATACACTCAAACACATTAAAATTTTTTAAAAAAATAAAAATATTTTTATGCATATTTTTAATTTTTATGTGTATGCATGTATTGCCTGCATAGTACATAAGTGCACCCGTGTCGTGCAATGCCCTCAGAGGTCAGAAGAGACTATAGGATCCCCTGGGACTGGAGTTTCAGACAGTTGTTAGCTGCCATGTGGGTGTTGGGATTCGAACCCAGGTCTTCTGCAAGAACTGTCAGTGTTCTTAACCACTGAGCCATCTATCCAGCCCTATTTTTAAAAAAAATTAATATTGAAAGAAGAACCTGTAATTTTCCTGTAAAGTAGAAGTCATCTGAAATGACAGAACAGGAATGATTATCTATGGCGTACAATCTCTCACCTGAAGCTGAACACAGAGTTTGTTATGAGACTGAATCATGTAGCTTCCCAGCTTACATCCCTTGACTTTCTTCTTGAGAAATGGCACACCTCTAGATTGCTAATTAAGTGGCAAGATGACCATCTCAGTTCTAAAATCAGATTAGGGTCAAGAGTGATGAATTTTCTTTGAGTTCCAAAGGATTTCTGTAACAGCATATTAACAAAGATACATTATTAAAGCTCCAATATTTACAAATCCCAAAGAAGCTTTTAGAGATTTAGGGATTTAATCTTTGACTTTTAAAACCAGCTTTTCACTGTCAGTCAGAATACCAATGAGCCTTTAAAAGCTTCAGGGACAGTGAGACAGGCATTTACACACGAGCATGTGAATTCAACTTGGTTGTCTTCCTGGAAGCAATATGGCAAAATATGTGAAGAATCTAGTAGGTCACTTCCAACCACCACACACTATTGCCCTGGTCTGAGCCCCATTATTTATGATTGCCGGGAATTGACTGTTGCCTCTCAGCTGGACTCTGCTTCTCTACCCTTGCTCCCTCATAGTCTCCTTCCAACACATCAGAGTGACTCCTTTCCAAACAAGAGTCAGACTATGCTCTTCTGCTGCTCAAAACCCTCTGGGTGCTTCTCATTTCACTCAGACTGGAAACCATAACTCCTCATGGTAGCCTGTAAGGCCTTACATGAACTAAAAAACACTTTATCTTTCTGATTCCCCTACTTTTGTACCCTATCTGTTCCACTCCAGCTGTACTGACCTTGTACCTGTAGTACCATTCTTCAGACATGTTTTCTGTTTGCTCCTGTGATAGTCAATGTTGTCTCCTGGGTAGGATGTAGAATCCCTATAAGAGGAAGACCTGTGAGGGAGTTTCTAGCCTGGGTTAATGAATATGGGAAGACCAACCCTAACTGTGGGTGGCACCACAGGGTCCTGGACTAAGTAAAATGGAGAAAGCACACTGAACACCAGAATCATCTGTTTCCCGACATGCATTCCCAGCCTTCTCTTTTTTCTGATTTGTGTATGAGTGTTATGCCTACATGTATGAAAGTGTGCCCGTGTTGTGCAGTGTGCACAGAGGTCAGAAGAGGCCATCGATTCCTCTGGAACAGGAGTAACAGATAGTCATTGCTGCCATGTGGGTGCTAGAAATCAAACCTAGGTTCTCTTCAAGAACAGCCAGTGCTCTTAACCACTGAACCATCTCTCCAGCCCTGTTTTTATTTTTAATTTTGAGACAGGGTCTTCCTGTAGCCACAAATGGCCTGGAGACCAGGCTGGCCTCGGATCTCAGAGAGATCCACCTGCTTCTGCCTCACCTGTGTTGGAAATTAAAGGCGTGCACCACCACACTAGCCTGTTTTGTTGTTGTTGTTGTTGTTGTTGTTGTTTTTAAAAGACAAAAATCTCAGCTGGGTGTGCTGGCCCACGCCTTTAGTACTACCACTCCGGAGGCAGGCAGATCTCTGTGAGTTCAAGGCCAGCCTGGTCTACATAATGAGTTCCAGGCCAGCTGGGGCTACAGAGAGACCCTATCTCAAAAAAAAAAAAAAAAAAAAAAAAAAAAAGAAAAAGAAAAAAAGACAAAAATCTCACTATGTACCCCAGGCTGGCCTTGAACTCACTATCCAGCCCAGGCTTCCCTCAGACTTGTAGTGGTCCTTCTGCTTCTAACCGCTGAGTCCTGGGATTACAGATGTGAACAACTGCACCAGACTGAGAAATGAAGTTCTGAGCAACCTGAATGCAGGCGAATCTCTGTGAGTTCAAGAGTAGCCTGGTCTACAAAGTGAGTTCCAGGCTAACTGGGGCTGCAGGGAGACCCTGTCTCAAAAAAAAAAAAAAAAAAAAAGAAAACAAAACAAAAAACAAAAACAGCAGATTAGATTATAGAGAGGATTAGGAGCTACTAGTGGTTACAGAGTTTATACTTGGAATGGTGGAAAGGTTTTAGAAACAGATGCTGAGTATAGTTGCACAACACTGTGAGAGTAATTAAGTGTGCTGAATTACACACTTAGATGGTACATTGTTTTTCTCAGCACTGTGACAGATGACCTTACAGAAACAACTTAAGGGAAGATTTATTTTAGTTCATGGTTTCAAGGAATACAGTTCATCATGGCAGGGAACTCATGGCATTGTGGCATGATCTGTTAAGGCAGAGCCTTAACAGGAATACAGTTCATCATGGCAACAGATGGGAAACCAAGATGGAACATGAAGTAGGGCCAAGTTATAGCTCTCAAGGCCTACCCTTTGTGGCCCATGTCCACCAGCTAGGCCCTGTGTCCCAAAGATTCCATAGCCTCCCAAAACTGCTGCCAGATGGGGACCAGATGTCAAATGCATAGCCCATGGAGGCACATTTTATATTCAAACTAAACTAACTAAATTGTTAAAATGACAGATTTTATTTTTACTACAATAGAGAATCTCAAAACAATAAAATACTGTATAGGGCTGGTGAGATGGCTCAGTAGGTTAAAGTCACTTGCCACTCAACCTGGTAATTCACGTTCAATCCCCAGAACCCACATAAAGGTAGAAGGAGAGAACTGACTCCACAGGGCTGTCCTCTGACTTCCACACATGTGCTTCTTGCATACACACACACACACACACGCACACACACACGCACGCACGCACGTAATAGTAATTTTTTTTTTTTTTGGTCTTTGAGACAGGGTCTTCCTGTAGCCCCAGCTGTCCTGGAACTCACTGTGTAGACCAGGCTGGCCTTGAACTCACAGAGATCCGCCTGCCTCTGCCTCCCAAGTGCTGGGACTAAAGGCATGTGCCACCATGCCCAGCAATAGTAATTTTAAAAGAAAATGATCAGAAAGGTAAAAACAAACGGGGCTGGAGAGATGGCTCAGCAGTTAAGAACACTGGTTGTTTTTGTAGAAGACCCCAGTTTGAATCCCAGCACCCACATGGCAACTAACAGCTGTCCATAACTCCAGTTCCAGGGTAATCCGACAGTGTCTTCTGACCTCCGCGGGCATTGCACAATACGGGTGCACTTACATACATGCAGGCAATACACACATACACATTAAAAAAAAAAAAACAAATGCCAAAATAGTTCATGCCAAAGGAGTTTTGAGGAAGGGGGTATTATGTCAATATGATAATGAATTTATAGGTTTTACTGTATAAGTGTCTATATTGTTTCTACTATTTTACCATAAAGATGCAGGCATATTACATGTATTGCTTCTTAAAAATAGACCCAAAATTAGGGTATATGTTAGAATTGTAGTATTTGGTGCCTTTTCTCTTGAAAGCCTGAAAACTGTATACAGCCAAAAGGGACCTGTAAAGACACAGAAAGCCAAGCCTGTGACTTATATTGATTGTCTCCTCAGAAATCGACTTTTTCCCCTTGCCTAATTGAGGCTTTTCTTATGTCTTTGTAGGTTACCCTACAGCCTACCCAGCAGCTGCTCCAGCTTACAATCCCAGCCTGTACCCAACCAGTAGCCCCAGTTACGCCCCAGGTAAGCAGTGGGTGGGGGTAGCAGCGGTGATGGGGTAGAAGTAGGCTCTATTTGGAAAAACAAGCTTACCAGTTGGCCCTTCCCTGTCCCTAATTGTTCTGGAATCCACCTGTTCTGGCTTCTCTTGGGAGTCCCCTATGGGAACTGGGGCAGATTAGCCTCAGGGTAGGAGTGGCTGTAGAAGCCCCTTCATTCTCCCTGGGCCTTAAGGGTGGCCTGGCTCCCCTGTGCTGGCATGTGTGAGACGTGCATTGTCCTCACAAGACCCTTTCAGCTCTCCCAAGTAACATCCAGATTTATTTTTTGTTCAGTTTTCCCTGAGGCTGCCATTGGGAGACATACAAATATATTCATTCCCACTCACAGAGTAGACTCCTGGGGTGTAGGTTTGGAAGAGGATGAGACACTTGCCATCAGAGTAAAGAGCTTATCTGTAGGCTGAGACAGGTTACTTATTTTTCAAAAATAAAAGAGGCATACCTTCTTAAATAGAGAGACTGAAATGAGTTCTAAGCATTGAAAAGGTGCTAGGCTTGATGGCATACATTTATAATCTCTGCTCTTGGATGCTGAGGCAGGAAGATCACAAGTTCAAGGCCAACCTGAGCTCATAGTGAGAGCAAAAACAAAAAAGTTAAAGAAAGAAAATATTTAAAAGATTTTTTTTTTCTATTTTGAGCCAGGAACATTACAGAGATTTTTAACCACTAATCCCAACTCCCTGGCTCAACCAGTGCTTCAACACTGACAGTCAAGAGAAAGAATAGGCTCTATGGTTAATAAGTCCTGTGTTTGAATCTTGATTGTCCATTTCTCTAATTGTAAAGCCTTGGACAAGTCATCTCACCTTTCTGAGAGTCATATGTATCTACTTACCTCAGAGTTGTAGGTGATTTTACTTAAGCTCCTGTTCATTTACTCAGTATTTGTTGAATGTCCTCCATACTGAAGTATTTTTTAGTTCATTTTTGGAGCCTGGCATATAAATAAATTAATTACAGTATAGTTGAGTATTAAAAAAGGAATGCATACCAGGAGAGGAGGAAGCAGTCTCCCTGGAGGTGACAGCAGAGGGAAGCTTCACAGAGGAGTGATTAGTAGAAGTGAGGGAGGAGCCCATGTAAGCACCCAGGGGAGGAGGAGCATTACAGGAAAGAGAGCATGGTAAATAAAGCATGGTGAGGGTGTGGAACCTGACTACTGAGCCTAGAACTAGCGGAATGATCGAAGCATAGACTGACAGGGACTGGATGAATCTGAACTAAAGGCACCAAATTGGGTTGTTTTGTTTTTTGAGACAGGGTCTCCCTGTGACCTCAGTTGGCCTCAGACCAGGCTGGCCTCAGATTTCACAGAGATTCACCTGCCTCTGCTGCGATTAAACCTGTGTCCCAACACATCCAGCAGGTAACAAATTTGGCAAGGCTTTAAATATTTCATCATGCCCTCCTTCATTTTCTTCGTTAAGTGAATATTGCAGAATTAGAAAGCTTGAAAAGACCTCAGTGATTCTCTAATCCAAAGTGGTTTTTTTTTTTTTTGGTTTTTTTTTTTTTTTTGGTCTTTTTGAAACAGGGTCTCCATGTAGCCCCAGCTGGCCTGAACTGCTGTGTACAGAGATCTGGCTGCCTCTGCCTCCCAAGTGCTGGGATCAGAGGCATGTGCTATCATGCCTGGCTCTAACCTCTTTTTTGATTAGGACTTTCTGGAGCTGTTTTGCCCCATATTCCCTGGTGAACTGGCAATAGCTTATAGACTAGAACCTTTGACAGACTTCTTGTCCTGTGCTTTTCTATGCCAGTCTGGTATAACTGTTTCAGTCTCTTCTGAGATGTTAAGGCAGAAAAGAACATGGGCTATATCTGCACACCTATGTTTGAGCCCTGGAGTTATTACATATATGCCATGAAGTTACAGACAGCTCCCCCCCACCCCCTTTTTTTTTGTTTGTGCAAACAAGAACTATTCTAGCCAAGCATGATGGTGGTGGACACTTGCAGTCTCAATACTTGGGAGGTGAAGGCAGGAGGATCAAGAGTTCAAGAGTGACCTGGGCTACATGAGACCCTCCCTTCCAAAAAAAGATTGTTTTATGCAAATAAAGTGATGATAACCTCTAAAGTGCTTACATGGATGTGTCACACATTGTTAGTTACTTTTGTGCAGCTGTGCCTAGGTCACCTGAGGGAACAAGGAAAGAAAGATAGGTTGTAGTTTACCATTTTAGAGGCTTCAGTCCGTGTTCTCTTGGCTCCATTATGCTTGGGCAGAACATCATGGTGTAGACCAGCCTGGCCTTGAACTAATAGAGATCTGCGTGCCTCTCCCTCCCAAGTGCTGGGACTACAGATGTGTGCCACCATGCCCGGCTCCTCAAAGAGTTTTTAAATGGAGCAGTAATGCATGGACTTTAATGCTATCTCAGCATTGAATTTTCTATTTACTTCAATGAATAAGATACAGCATCCCCCCCTCCAATCTATAGTAGGCAGCAACAGTATAAAAGCTACAGAAATTCTCTGATAAAATACTCAGATTTGCTGGGCATGGTGTTGTACACCTTTAGTCCCAACAGGCAGAGGCAGGTGAATCTTGGTGAGTTCGAGGCCAGCCTGGTCTACATAGTGAGTTCTGGGCCAGCTGGGGCTACAGGGAGACCTGTCTCAAAAAGACAAAACAAAAACAAAAACAAATTCAGATTTGATAGGTTCTATCTTAAAAACTAAGAAAACGTTGATTGTCAAGTGTCACAATACATAAGTGATTTAAATCTAAATGCTGTGAGATCTGTGTTGGCTTTGTAAACCAATCTAGAACAAAAGGAGGTGAGTTGTGGTAGTTCAGGTGAGGTCAGGAGTTAAGAATAGTCAGGAGACCACCAGTGACTTCACTGACTGCAGTCTGGGAGGTGGCAAGCCTGGGAAGCTGAGTGCAATGAACCAGAGAGAAGACATGACTTAGCATGCGTAGTATGCTTACAAGACACTTGCCTCCTAAGAAAAACAAAAGAGCATAGTGTACAAGGGAATGTGTAGTTGAAGGAGGGAGTGTCAGGTCTGAACATAACTAAACTGACACTGGTGGGAAGGAGCACATACAGGGGACAAGTCAGAGACATCCTGCCTCATGGAGCCAGGCCTCTCGGCAGTGTGGTGGGAATGAGGAATCCAAAATTCAGTTTTCTTCCTTGCTGAGTGTCAGTTGGGAGTGGAGCACCTCACTTTGGAGGGCACCTCTTCCTCTCTGACCTAGGGAAAGGTCACAGGTAGATGTGCTTAGAGCAAATTGCTCTAGGGGCAGTGCTTGAGGTTGTTGAAGGTGAAGGTGATGCATTCATCCAGGCTTGGTTCCCTAGCCCTGAGCTGCTTTCTTGAAGTATTCAGCACTTCTTAAAAAATCCTATTGAATGTTTTCTATGTGCAGCAACAGTTTCTTTTAAGCTCCTTAGGGATGATCACTTGTTTTATATTACAACAAGCCTTTGAGTACTTTATTTTTTTCCCATTTTTCCCAAAGGGAAAACTGAAATTTAGAGAAGTTAGGAAGCTAGATTCACTTCTGGAATCCTGCCACAGCACCAGAACTTTTAACCACTGCTGTCCTTGAGGCAGTAGACACACTGAGTTGTTAGACAGGAGCAGCCAAGCTGGAGGAGGAAAGAGCCGGAGGCTGTGAAGATCATGACAAGCTGGAAAGCTGATTGTGTGGAGGTAGAATATTACCTTTTAATTTTAAAACAAAGACATAAGCCTGTATCTAACCTGACTTCCCCCCAATGCTATGCTTTTAAAAGTCAACATATTTTCAGGGGCTGGAGAGATGGCTCACCAGTTAAGAACCGCTTGCAGAAAACCCAGGTTCGAATCCCAGCACCCACATGGCAGCTAACAACTGTCCGTTAACCCCAGTTCCAGGGGATCCCCACATGGCAGCTAACAACTGTCCATTAACTCCAGTTCCAGGGGATCCGACAGCCTCTTCTGTCCTCCACGGGTATTGCACGACACGGGCGCACTTACCTACATGCAGGCAATACACACATACACATAAAATAAAAGTAATAAATTAAAAAAAAAAAGTCAACATATTTTCAAGCTGTGATTAAGCCCATCTCTTTGCTCAGAAACCAAAATCCACAGCAAAGAATAGTGCTAGTACATTGTGTTAGAAAACCCCAGCCTGCCCAGGCGTGATGACACATATCTACTATCCCAGCATTTGGGAATTGGAGGCAGGAGGATCAAGAGTTCAAGGTAACCTGCAGCTACATAGCAAGTTCAAGGCCAGCCTGAGCTTCATGTATCCAAAAAAAACACTATCAGGAAGGAAAGAAGGAAAGAACACCCACCAGACTGGAACATAACACTGCTTTTGATTTTGAGGGTGATCTTGAGAGAAATCTATTTTGAACTACACACATACATACACGCACGCACGCGCACACACACACACACACACACACACACACACACAGAGTGAGCTGGGGATTGGGGGAGCTGGGTGTCTTTCCTGTTCGGTGATGCTGGCCTCTGCTTTCCTAGGTTTGACTGCAGTGGGGAGGGTCTGCCTAAAGGAGCTAGCTCAAGATCAAAGGCAACAGTGTAGGTGACTCTCAGCTTTCTCAATAGAGCTAGCCATTTGTTATACAGGGAAGTGCCTGACAGGAGCCAGGCTCTCAGGTCTAAATTTCCTTCAGTCGCCTCAAGGAGACCAAGAAGTTGTTCAGATAGAGCTATTTTTAGCAGCTTGTACACCTTAAGATGTCATCTGTCCAGAATATGTTTTTTCATTGGTTCTGAAAGCAGCATGGGTACTTGGAGCTTTTTTCCAAACTCTTAATGATTTCAGAGATCTTATTTAAGAGCTACCTCATAGGCACAAGCCAGCCAAGATTTTGTTTTCAGAATCCAGAGAACAAAGGGTTTACCATATTAATGATAATTTAACTTGAAAATGAAAAGAAGGAAATAAGAACCAAATGTAAATTCACAAGAATCTGTTGACAATACATTCTTATCTATTGTCTCACTGGATTTCATAAAACCCTCTGAAGTACACACATTATCCCATTCCTATTGTGGATATTCTAAACCTAGGGAAAGGAATTTGTGCTTTCTAAACACGCCCATGTTAAAGCACTATGCAAGGCATGTTACAAATGTTCATTTTTACCTTAATCCTGTAAGCTAGAGTTTCTTGCCTCATTTGATTCAGAAATTTAGTAACTTCCACAGTTAGCTTTAAAAAGTCTTGAACTTAGCCGGGCATGGTGACACGTGCCTTTAATCCCAGCACTTAGGAGGCAGAAGCAGGCAGATCTTTGTGAATTCAAGGCCAGCCTGGTCTGTGTAGTGAGTTCCAGGCTAGCTGGGGCTACAGGGAGGCCCCTGTCTCAAAAAGAACCCCACCTCCAAAAAAAAAAAACATGAACCTGGGATTCAAACCCACTTATCTGTCCACGTGAATTGCCTCTATATTGGTCATAGTTCTTTGAGAGGCCTATAATGGCCGTAAATGTCTTTACTTCTTCCCAACCTCAAAAGCCTCTGTCATGTGTGTAATCCCTTAGCAACTTGGGAGAATTGAAATGTTCTTAATATGGACAAGCAAAAAACAGGGTCTTGGGGTTGCTCACATACCGGCTGTTTCTGGGTCAGCTGTTTGGAAGATACTGCGGCATCCAGGGAGGTCCCCCTCTGTAATTAATAAACTTTCCTGGTTGGCAAGTCTGTCACCCTTTCCTGGGGAGAGGTACTTTCCACTCTGAATTCACTGTTTCGTGTGCAGCCTGGGGGAAACTGGTATCTTAAAACAAAGTCTGTTATGTAACTGCAATATGTACAACTTTTCACAGATTCTTAGTGGTAATTTCAACTAACATTTCTATCCAACAGAGTTTCAGTTCCTGCATTCAGCTTATGGTAGGAGAGCTATTTTTCCTCATCTGTATTATGGCCTATGAATGTGTTATCTCATAACAATGATAGATTCCCTTCCCTTTCCTCCCCAAATCCCATCTCCTAGGCTTGGGCTCCCCCAGGTGGCTCAGCAACAGTTCCTAAAGCATGCAGGAACATGTCTGATGGTGCAAAATCATGGGTTGGAGACACACATAAACCATTCCCATAGGGGCAGTAATGAAGGATCATGGCACTAAAAGGCGTCTCACATCTTAACTGGCTGCCCAATTCAAACAAATGAACAAAAATTCTAGGGCCTGTGTGTGGCTTCTCTGTTGGCTTTATGGCAGCCTCTGAGGAGTTCCTAGATTATGACTATTAGACCCTAAAACACCAGTCGGCCCCAGGATCAGATATTTCATTGGCAGTCTGACATGTTTGAAGACCTGGTTGACTTTGGATATAATCTATTCTCTTCACCGATCTTGAGCTCTGGGCTTATTTTGGGGGCATTTTTCTGGATGGTGAAAGTGTGCTAATTGGGTGAAAGATCAGAGTTGAGTTTTCTGGGCAGTGTGGACTCCAGGCCCAAGGCACCACGGGAACTTCTGGGCACCTGTGAGGGTCCCAGCAGTGTAACTTGACTAGGTCCCTTTTGTCATAGACAGGAAGGGACCATGGGAGAGATTTCCACTTTTACTACACTTACCTGGGCTGCTCGGGACAATGTTTTCATAAAATCTCTGCATGTTTTCTCAGCTCTTAATCTTGATTATTTAGGTGTTGTAAAGTGAATTTACATGTGGCACATCTTTCAGAAGATGAGCTGTGAAATTTCTTCTTGCTACTGCTATGGGCTGTGTGATCTTGGGCAACTTGCTAATGTCTCCAGGCGGTAAAGGTTTTTATCTCACGTGATCTTTGAGGTTCCTTTAAGTGTAACATCCCATCCTCTTGTAATTTTTATCATTTCAATATTGCTAGCCACAGAACTATTTCGCTTATTTTGGGGAGTCATTTTTGGCAGGGTATGTGAACTCAAAAGCCTCTATAAAAAGTTAGAGAAGGTCTCATGCTTCCTCCCTCTTCCAGTTATGATATCTGAAGTGAAAATGCATATGGAATATGGATGGAGCTTTTCAGAGGATGTTCTATGCCAAGTCCTAAGTTGGCCCTGTGAAGATGGAAAGGCCAGTAAGGCAAGGTTCCCATTCCTGAGAGCTCACAATTCACTGGGGAGACATAAAAACCAACCAGATACAGAGGCTTCTAAGTCTCACTGCACCTGGCAGAGTCAGTTATGTGGGATGATGTGGTCAGAGAACAGAGCATGGGGAGAAAAAAGACTCCATAGTAGAGCCAAGTTTTCAGCTCATGATCGATTGTTTTAATATGTGTTTACTACTAGATGGACTATGAGGAGGAATGTGCCAGAACTAGCAGTGAAGACAAAACCATGCAGAAGAAAGCTTGTTGGCAGGATCTGGAATTGATAAGCCATTTGTGCAAAGTAGTGTGGGTTGAACAGTAAGGATGATGAAAGAGCAAGGGGATGTATTAGTTGCTTTTCTTGTTACTGTGACCCAATACCTGTCAAGAAGCAACTTAAAGAAGAAAGGTATGCTGCTAGTTTTCAGCAACTTGACACAAACTAGAGACAATTGAGAAGAGGGAACCTCAATTGAGGAATTTCTCTATGGGCTTTGCCTTACCCATATCTGTGAGGCATTTTCCTTTTCTTTCTTTCTTTTTTTTTTTTTTTAAGAAGTCATACATACTTTAAAAAAAAATTTATATGCATGACTGTTTTGCCCCATGTATTTAAGTGCACCGTGTACATACCATAACAGCAGAGGCCAGAAGAGGGTGTTGGATCCCTTAGAACTGCAGTTACTGTTGTTAGCTGCCATGTGGGTGCTGGAAACTGAACCCAGATCCTCTAGAAGAGCTGCCAGTGCTCTTAACTGATGTGCCATCTCTCTAGCCCCTGAGGTATTTTCTTAATTTCTAATTGGTGTAGGAGGACCCAATCCACTTGGGTGGTACTATCCCTAGGCAAATGAGCCTGGGCTAGATCAGAAAAGTAGCTGAGCAAGCCTAAAGTAAGCAGCATTTCTCCATGGTCTTTGTTTCAGTTCCTGCCTCCAGGTTGAGTTCTTGCCTTGAGTGGTGAATTGTGACCCAGGAGTTGTAAGATGAACTAAACCCTTTCCTCCCCAAGTTGGTTTTGGTTATGATTTTATTACAGCAACAGAAAAGTAACTAGAACAAAATTGGGTTTAGAGTTTTAGAAGGGTTACAGTCTATATGGAGGGCAGAGCATGGCGGCAGGAGTGGAAGGCATCAGGTCACATGGCATTTACAGTCCGGAAGGAGGAATAGACAAGAAGTAGGGCCAGGCTGTGAGATCTCAAGGCCCACCTCGCAGTGACCCACTTCTAGCAAGGCTCTAGCACCTGAAGGTTCTACAACCTTCAAAAATAGTACCTTCAGCTGGAGACCAAGTGTTCAGACATGTGAGCCTATGTAGGACATTTCAATTCAAACTACAAGAGATTATCAGGACTAGATCAGGAGAGCTTTGAATGCAAGGAATTCAAATTGCCACAGGTGAGCAAGAGAGAACCATGGGCTATTTTTAAGAAAGAGGTTTTGGGGGCTGGAGAGATGGCTCAGTGATTAAGAGCACTTGCTGCTCTTGCAGAGGACCTGGATTTGATTCTCAGCACCCACATGGCAGCTAACAACTGTCCAGTTCCAGGGGATCCAATGCCCTTTTATGACCTCTGCAGGCATTGCATGGCATAGGTGCACTTACATACATGCAGACAATATTCTCATACAAATAAAATGAAAATAATAATTTTTTTTTGAGACAGGGTCTCCCCGTAGCCCCAGCTGTCCTGGAACTCACTATGTAGACCAGGCTGGCCTTGAACTCACAGAGATCCCCCTGCCTCTGCCTCCCGAGTGCTGGGATTAAAGGCATGCGCCACCACGCCCGGCATAATAAATTTTTTTAAAAGACAGTTTTATGATTAGGTTTAGGTCTTAGATCAGTGTGACTATTGCTTGGAGATTGAAAGGGACAAATTTTTTTAAAAAGCATTGAGTAAACAGTTTGGAGTGGCTGGGGTAAGAGATGATGAGAGCTTGAATTAGGCCACAATGGAAGTGTATAACTACTAAAACTAGAAATCATTGAGATTGGATGATGCTGTAAAAAGAATCGGGGAATAGTTATTACTGCCATTTTATGATGCAAAGAAACTGAAGCTTAGAAGATTAAGTGACTTGCCCAAGGTCCCACAGTTAGTAAGTGGCAGAGCCCAGGTTAGAACTCAAGATTTCCTCACTCAGTAAATGGTTCAGGATGATGGTCCCTTGCTGCCTCTCCTCTCTGTAAGTGTGCTTAACAGATTGTTCAAGTGTCAGAGGGCATGAGGGGCCCATATCCAGGAAGTGAACAACCCAGCAGCTGAATGCCAGCAGCCTGCTGTGATGGGGCCTGTGGCCAGCCCTTCACTTGAAGCCAAAGGTTTTCTCTTTTGTTCTCTGTGTCCTTTTTACTTGAAGGATAACATATATATTAAAGTACATAAAATATATGAATTGTAAATGCACAGCTTAATAATGTTTTCACATATATATGCTATACCTATATGTAACTATCACTCAGTTTAAAAGATAAAACTTTGGAAGTCGTTCCTTTCTGGTACCCAAGAGCAGGCCTGCCTGTCAGAGTAGCCTTTTCTGTCACCATGCTGCTGCAAGCTTCAGTTGGGATTGGTTTCGTCCAGTTCTGAATTGCTACCACCATCACAATGGACAACTATAGAGTTAAATATGGAGAGAAACAGACTCATACCATGCAGCTAACTGATGAAGAGATCAAGTTCACTGCTGAAATTCGGTTTTCATATTTATTTAGTTATTTAAATTATTAAGTATTCAAGAATAAAGAAAAGATACAAAGTTTTCTTTATAATGAAACCATTGTTTGGAAAATGTATGGTTTAGGCCATGTGATCACTTGGGAAAGACAATCAAAGGCGCAATGGCACTTGTTTCTTTCCTGGCTAATATACAACATTATTTTACTGTATAACATGCTGTCTTGTTCACTCCCTGGTTGGCGTGTGGCTGAGTTGCATCCCCAACTAGACCGTAAGTACCTTGTGTGCAAGTGACTGTGGCCCACGTGTGTTCCCGTCCACCGTGGCACTCCACTCAGTGCTGAGTGCAGTTAGGCCCCAGTATGCTTTGGCTGATTTAATTTAACTTTAATTGTCACAGTCCTTCAGACTAATGTCAGACTTTTGACTTATGATGAAAATTATAAATATGCCCCACTTAGAAAACAAAAAATTGGAATGAATAAGGACCTCCAAATTCTCCCAAATCTTCTGGCCAAATTCAGGCCTCTTGTTCCTTGGTAGAGTCTCATTGAGGTCTTACAGACATGGACTTGCTCTCTCTGACTTCTCAGAGCACCATATTTAATACTTTAGGGAGCTGTTTTGGGACTGTCATGACTTTCCAGCCACGTTGAATTTCAGGTCTTAAATTTGGAGTCATTGTGATAAGATTTTTCAATACTAATTGGATCCTTTATTAATCCCCTTCATATTAGCACCCCACCCTCTGGAGAAAGAAACCCAAGATGATTATTTAAAGCAGATTCCCTCCTCCTACAGGGTCTACACAGCTGTGCCTGGCTGGCCAGAAAAGGCCCTGGGCTCTACATGGAGTTCTGCTCAGCCTCCATTTCTCTTGCCAGATTCTCCTTTTAGTGTCACTTTCCTGCCCATGATTTCCTTCTCATTCCTCAGCATCTGCTGTATATACTGTGAGCCATTAATGCAAGCACAGAGTCAGCCTGTACAGCTGCATTTCTGACCCTGGTTCAGCAAAAGCAGCAGAAACCATGACTTTTTCTGGCCATAGTAGTTCTGTGATAGAAGGAGCAGAGGCATTAGCTATAACTCAGACAGTCAGAGGGGTTATGGAATCTCTCTGGAGAGTAGACAATCCTGTAGGAATTAGAGAGTGTAACAGACATACTTTCTTTTTATACTCTTTCTTTAGCCCTTTATTTAAATATTTCAAGTTTATCTGACTTGCCAGTACAGCCCCACATCTTGCTAATATACTATAAAACACTATGTCTGAGATTCCCAAGACCTTATTAGAATGGAAAAATAGGGGCTGGAGAGATGGCTTAGTGGGTAAGAGCCCTGGCTGTTCTTGCAGAAGATCCAGGTTCAAATCCCAGCACCCACAACTGTCTGTGACTTCAGTTCCAGGGGATCCGATGCTCTCTTCTGTCCTCTGTGGGCATTGCACGACATAGGTGCATTTACATGCATGCTGGCAGTATAGTCATACACATAAAATAAAAACAACAAATAAAATAATAAAAAAAAGAGAGGAAAAATATTGTTAACCCTTATCAGCCAGGCGTGGTGGTGCATGCCTTTAATCTCAGCACTTGGGAGGCAGAGGTAGGCAGATCTCTGCAGCCTGATCTACATAGTGAGTTCCAGGCCAGCTGGGGCTACAGGGAGAC